AGATAATAAGTGAGAGACTCAAAGTAAGTGTTACTAGGGGTAATTTAGGCATCCAAAAATACAAATTTTGCCAAGTCAAATTTAATTATGGATATTGCTTAGTTGGAGTCTAGTCATTGGGTTTGAATCCAGCAAGCACAAGCTTCCATAACTTCAAGTCGCCATTGACGATTTCCTACTTATATAAGGACATTAAGTATACATGGACACACAGTTTTCCCTAGCAGTTGCTACTGCTAGTTGCAGATAACTCCAACTTGGAAGAATTAATTTGTACCTGCTGCTTCCTGCCCTTTGAGTCTTTGACAGCCATGTACAATTATACATACAAGTATCATTCGTCGGTTGATCTTAATGTTCATTAGATTTATACAGATTTCCTATAATTTTTTTGGATAGAGTTGAATAAAACCCGATGTAGCTTCGATTATCATTGTTTTGGTACACTAAGTGGACTACGTACGAAATATCGACTTCAGTATGTATACGTTTCATGGTTTTTGCTCTTCCTCAAAATGCACTTCCAGTCATGGGATGTCAGCATCCGATGTAAAAATTCCTGAGTTTAGGAGGCTGAGCCTCCTGAGTAAATCATTCAGACCGTTGAAATTTGATCTAATAGCTAGAAATAGAGGGCCCTCTAAAAAGATATAATAATTGCAGCATTTGAATCAAATTTCAACGGCTCGTGTGATTTGCACAGAAGGCTCAGCCTACTAAGCTCAGGAGGGGATCTGGTTCCTTTCCTAGCAGCCAACTAGCTTGACTTGCAAAGATTGTTCCTGACCCAAAAAAAAAAAAAAATCAAGAGTGTAAGTCCCACCACGCCCACAACTTGGGAGTGGGAGGAAGAACCAGGAAAGCAAGATTCATGAACGCAACCTTAGGAACTGTAAAACCCACTGAATCATTGACCATATTGCTTATTATTTTATAAAAATTGAATGAGTGAGCCACCGTCGAATTCTTTACAATTCTTTTATTATAAACTAAAATGCTTAAAGAAAATGGTGTTTTCATAGCAAGCAGTAAGCACATATATATAGGTTCGTGAACATATCAGAGGAATACACGTCAATGAGCTAAAATTACGATATGTTTAAAATAAATTTTTGAAAACGTAAAATAAAGTGTATAATGTCTTACATTAACATATGATTCTCCCCAATCGTATACATGTAATTTACCAAAAAAAAAAAAAAAAAACTATATATTATACGTGTAATACTTTAGAAATAATTGTTGCTTATGACAATATCATTTCCGGTTCATCTTATAAAGAAAATAAATACACAGTTAGATTCTCCTGAAGAAGTCAAATTATATCGAAAAGGAGGAGCAAAATTTTAAGGTCAATATTATCATTGTGTCACTTGAGAAATCAAATTTGGGTAGCTTAAGGATAAAATAGATATAAGTGCGGTGTAATCTGTGTTTGAAAGTTGAAACCTAGCAAATTAAAATGTGGTTGATCAATGATGACTAACAAAAAGTAGACACTATGTAATGCCACTTTATATCGTTATGGAGAGAGATATTTTCTACACCTTTAATATCCCACTACAATAACAGACGAATAAAACGATGATATGTAAAATATCACATTATTGGTCTGGGATGTTATTATGAGTCTTGAAAGTAAAAGCAGTGTAGGTATGCCAGGTGAATAGCTAAAGCACTATATATGGTTATGGAGAAAGATTTTTTCTACACCATTAATATCCCACTGCGATAATGGACGAATTAAATGATGTTATGTAAGATATCACATTATTAGTCTGGGATGTTATTATGAGTCGTGGAGTAAATGCAAAGTAGGTAAGTCCGATGAAAAGTTAAAACACGTGATATCGCTGTATTGGTCGGAAATGTTAGGATGATTTATCAAAAGTGTAGATAAGTCATTCTCTTGATTTGGGGGATTGAAGATTTTTGTTGGCTGGATCCTTATATATTAGATCATGTACCACATATTCAACCATTCATTATTCTATCGCATGTTATAATAAAATCTTTATATTTGGGGGATTGGACTTCATCTGGATTCATTTTGTCGAGATCTTAACAATCCTCACATCTTAGCTATTCATTGTGCATTGTACGGTTAGAAATTATTTGACTTTTTTTTAATTTAAAAGCAAACACAAATAACATTTAACGAAAATTGACCGATTTATTACGAATGGTTAGAATACGAGAATTACTAGAATCTCCACCAAATAGATCGGATCGGATCCTCTCCCTATGTCTGGGACACTCATCGAATCTCCATGCACATGTCATCTGAAACGTATAGATCGGTCTCACACTTTTTAACTTTCTAAGCACGTTTTGCAGATACTCGAGCGAATCTACATTTGGCATTATCCACTTCTACTCGATTCATTCATGAATGTTTGTATTGATTTTATTTCTTCAATCACGATATGATTGTTCCAGCACCGCCCTGCCGTCTCCTTACCCAATGCCCTAACAATCACCACAAATTACCATTATGCCTTTTTCTAGTAGCAAAACCTTTTATACATACACAGAAACCCACTACATGATAAAGAGTCCATTAAATAGAAAGGTCACACACAAAATTGGTGTAAAAAATTTGAACTCCATGCTGCTAACCTGCATCTGTTATTTAGGGATCACTCGTATCCAAACATGTAAAATAACAGAAAATTCATCCCCATTATGGAAAGACCAAGTCTCTACATTTTTTTTTTTTTTTAAATTGAAGGATGAAAATTAAACTGCTTTTTTAATTCTGGGACGAAATCAAAACTATCATAAAAGTTTAGGGACCAATTACGTAGTTGACTCTTTTTTATTTTATTTTATTTTATTTTTCTAAGAACTACTTTATATCTTTGTATTTGCTAATACAAAATTTTACACAACTCTTACAATTTAGTAATTTGAATCTCGGTAAGAAACAAGTAAACTACTCCAGCCAACTGATTTAACTTGCATTTGTCAAATGCTCTGGATCTTGATTTGCTTATTAATTATAAATGTACATTATCATATTTCGTGTGGCCATCAGGTGTGAGTCTCTATAATGTAAGTATATATAAACATGTTTCTCAAAAAAATTGGGTTCAAATTAAAGACGGATACATTATGTTAATCAACCGAACTAAGTCACATTAATAAAATACTTTGTATCTTGATTTGTGTATCAGTTGTAAATGCACGTCATCATAGTACAATGTCTCAACTCTCAAATCTAATTAACTATTGACATGAGTTTTTTGTGGACAAAAGAAGAGTATATAATCGTATCACTCTCAAGCAATGAAGGGAATTTAGGCAAAACAACTCTATCATTCCAATTTCGTATTAAGGGCAGGCCATGTCGTGGTCTCGAATTATAAATTAATGAGACCATAATATGTAAAAGGCCAATTAATAATTGATATAATATAAACTATAATTTAGAGAATAATAAAGATGGAATTTAAACAGATACAGAAAAGAAAATAAAAGTCTTCATATGAAGAATCAAATGGCCAAGAAGCCGACAGACAGATAAGTCAAATCAATATTATGGGCAGCGACACAACTTGGCAAGCTCACCGCTAGTAGCGCTCCAAATTGCTTAAGTTGTCTGCTATGTGAATCTAGCTAGGGATATCAATGCATGCATGTGGTTTGCTGGCAATGTCAACTTTTGCTCCTAACCCTAATATTTTTTATTTATTTATAAAACTTCGATGGTACGAGGATAATTTTATCGATGACGAAAAAAGAAGTTACACTTATTAGTCTTATTTAGTGGGATTCTCCTCATGATTTCATTTTCCTTTATTATCATCGTGATTATGTAGAGCTTCCACACTATTACTTTTGATAGGTTATCTTTTGTTGGCATTATTTTTATCTTGTATTGGTTATTGAAGACTTTGTTTGTTATGGTTGCTATATATTACGGTCAAGGTTAGGCTTTATGTTTCCTTGACAAATTGTACTCTTCTTGTTTTTTAATAAATCTATCTCATTGTCATTTTCCATGATAATTATGATAGAGCGAAATAGACTTTGTGGTTTAAAACACAAAATTGGTTTGAACCCCTTGACATCCTTAAAGTTATATACATATTTCGTTGTCTATGGTAACATTTAAAAAAAAGGTTAAATGTCAAAGTGGTTCTTGTGTTATAGTCATATGGCGAATTTAGTCCCTGTGTATGTTATTTGACTAATTTAGTCCTCATGTTTGTCTCTATTAGCTAATTAAAGACATTTCATTCGAAATTGACTCAATGACTAAAACACAGAGACCATTTTAACATTTAAGGCAAAAAAAAAAAAAATACAGGAATTTAAATGCTTTAATGGTGATAATTAACAATACGTTAAACTTTGTATTAATAGTGTGGTAAATGCAGAAGAAACAGATGAATTTTAAAAACCGTTTTTAAAGTACACAATATCACATGGAATATTGTCATTTTAAGTTGCAGAATGTATTTGCAATTTTTCTGAATTTATCCATCCAAAATGGATCTTATTGTTGATATTTTCCTAAACTATTTGTATATATGTAGGGATTGCCTTCTCCAATCCATATTTCCAGAAATCTCTCCTTCCAAATGAAACCTTATTATTATTATTATTATTAATTTTTTTTTTTTTTTAACTTTTTAACCTTGCAATATTATTTGTTTTTTTATCTTCCCTTGTGAAACCTTCATCTAAGTTGTGAATTATATATCTTTTAGGGTAGTATACTTATGAAATATATAACTTATACGCCTCCTCAAAATTCCTTTCAATTTTTGTTTTCCTTTCTTTTTTCAGTCTAAGGTGGATGTTTCCAGGAAATTTCAGTGAGCATACGTACACACAAAAAAACAAAGAGTATTGGAATGAAATGGACACAAAAGCAAGATAATTACTGAGTTTTTCTACTGAGTTGGAAGGGTAATTTAGTCCAATCCTCACGTGTGACCTTGGATCTTTGTATTATATATATGTAGAAAGAGCACCCTGGACCCGTGGTCAATTTCTGTGCTCGATACTCGAGTTGAATTCCTCTTGTTTTTTTCCTCTCTCTCTCTCTCCTCTCTCTCTCTCTCTCTCTATATCTGTGATTGTCGTCTTTGTCGTGTATCCTTGCAATCTTGTGCCGGCCATGGGAACCCAAGCTCCAACTGACGAAGTTAGTCTCTCTCTCTCTCTCTCTCTCTCTCTCTCTCTCTCTAAATCTCTGTCTGTGAAACTAAACATTTTTGAACCATACAAGCGACTTGAGAGTGAATTGGAAAACAAGCATATATTTTGACTCAAGCTACATTTGAAGTTTTGTGTGCTTATAAGATCAACTTCACCACAGAAGGAGATATTATTTTGCAAACTAGGTTCAGGTCGGATTTTTCTCTCATTATAAAATAAAATATTTGAATTAAAATAATAATATACTAACATTTGTCTATACATTTTGTGTGTGTAAACATATTTATTTAGAAAATGAGAAGAAGAGAGAGAACGTGGGGGACTGAGAGGGTTTTTTTTTTTTTAATATTGGAGGTATTGTAAAATTTAAATTTGTGAAATTATATTATTACTCATTATTTTGTTTGGTGATAGAAGTTTAAGTAGTTTTTTCATCTTCTTTTAATTGATAAAGAAAATTTTATTAATTAAATGAGATTATGGGATGCACTGCTATTAACCAAGTTTGATCAGGAAGTAGCTAGTGCTGGCCCCTACACGCCCCTCAGAGAATAAAACACTGCTCAAACAAGACTTGAAGCAACTCAATTACGACAGTTGATACGGTTGGATGAAAAGCCTTTTCAACTTTTGAGTTTTGATTCCTACAATAGGATCCTCTCTCCGGATTCTTTTGGTTAGAATCTTAAGAATTCGTGAATCGTGTTTGTTTATTGTATATAATTATGATCAATTTTTGTCAAATACTATTTGTACTTAATTTTAAATAAAAATATTTAAAATAATTTTTGATCGTATGATACATGATGAACCGACATAATTTACGAATCTTTGAGATCCTCACAAAGAAAATCTGAGAAGAATCCGAATTCTTGATTCCTCCCCTAAGTCAGGGATACCAGATACCAAGATTCATTGGACTAGCTCCCCCCACGGGCCCACCCCACTTCCCAACCCCCTAGAATTCCAATTACACCATTGTCCTTTTTTATTTACGGTAGAATTTTTAATTTTTTCTCATCCGTCCTTATTTAGCCGAAGATATTTAGCTCTGTACATGTAGAAAGTTATTCTTCCTCATAACTAAAATACGGTTTTATACACTCTGCTCTAATGTGATTTGTAGCTAAGATAAAAGGAACTTTAACGAAAAACTTCGGTACTGTTCATTTTAACGAAAAATCATATTTTTACACTAAAAAATCAATATTGATACTATTTATTTTACTCTTTATTTTGTCTTTATTGTTAAAACTTAAAGTTTTCAGATCATTTTCATTAATTTTCCTAAGATAAAATGACATGTCAATAATTTTCTTAGCTAACCGACCCCGACAATGTTGATTGCGTTGAAGCGAATAATAATGTGTCAATTTTCCATGTGATATTAGTCCTGGATTTGGGTGACAGTATGTGATTGATGCTGATGAAACAACATATGTTATCGTGTATGATAGATAGAAGAAAAATTAGCAAAGCAGAAGAAAATCGAAGAGTGGCTTCCAATCACTGCTTCAAGGAATGCAAAATGGTGGTACTCAGCTTTCCACAATGTCACTGCCATGGTTGGAGCTGGTGTTCTCAGTCTCCCTTACGCCATGGCCAATCTTGGATGGTATGTTAATCCTGATTAACTCAACCCTAGACTTCTGACAATATTAAATAGTCATACAATTCTTCACATCACTTGGGAAAGTGATTTCCGCATACTCCTCTCCCTGCAAGCCCTTGTTTACTTTTTACATTCGGACAAAAATTAGTAAGCATATGAAAAAGGAGAAAATGTGTGCAGAAAATATTTTTCCTTACTTTTTGCTGCTGTTATTTTGCCTCCACATTGTGGTAATTCAGGGGTCCTGGTGTGGTAATTCTGGTGCTGTCATGGATCATCACATTGTACACACTCTGGCAAATGGTTGAAATGCATGAGATGGTTCCAGGCAAACGGTTTGATCGATACCACGAGCTGGGGCAGTATGCATTTGGTGAAAAGCTTGGCCTTTACATTGTTGTGCCTCAACAGCTCATCGTCGAGGTCGGCGTCAACATCGTCTACATGGTTACCGGAGGAAAATCGCTGCAGAAGGTCCACAATTCTGTGTGCTCAGACTGTAAAAAGATCAAGTTAACCTATTTCATCATGATCTTTGCATCTGTTCACTTTGTCCTCTCCCACCTTCCCAACTTCAACTCCATCTCTGGTGTGTCTTTGGCTGCTGCAGTCATGTCCTTGAGGTATATATTCTCAACCTAAATTGTTTGAAAGTACTTTTAGAATGACAAAGTGTTTTTAGGTAATAAAAATGCTTATGACATGGTTTGACAGGAAAAAAGTTAAAAAGTGTGATTATTAAAAAAAATCAATTAACTTGTTTGGAACTACTTTGGAAGGGATAAAAGATCTTTATATGCAAATCTAAAATTTTCTGACTACGTTTGGAGAAACAGTTCAAATTACTTGTGGACCATAAAAGCTCTTTGAAGAAGCACATGTCATAGACTTCTTAGAATTCACTTTTAAGTGCATTCTTAGGAGGCAACTATAATTTTTAATAAAAACTACAAACGTACATGTTTCTAACCCCCTCACTAAGTGCTTCATATAGGAGCAGTCTCGGACAAGCTACTGCTCTTAGATAACCAAAAACAAGACATCAATTGGCATAAAAAAGTTACAAGTGTTTTCAAATTAATGTTTAATTAATATATTTCAATTGATTTTGTGAGGGATGCAGTTACTCTACCATCGCTTGGGGAGCCTCTGTGGACAAGGGTGTGGTAGACAATGTCGCATATGGGTACAAAGCCACGTCTACATCAGGAACTGTGCTCAATTTCTTCACTTCCTTAGGTCACGTGGCTTTTGCTTATGCTGGTCACAATGTTGTTCTGGAAATCCAAGCAACAATTCCATCTACACCTGAGAAGCCATCCAAGGGACCCATGTGGAGAGGAGTCATCGTCGCCTACATTGTTGTCGCCTTGTGCTACTTCCCGGTTGCTCTGGTCGGATTCTACGTGTTTGGCAATACAGTTGAGGATAACATCCTCATTTCACTTGAAAAACCTGCCTGGCTCATTGCAGTGGCCAACATGTTTGTTGTCATCCATGTCATCGGAAGCTATCAGATTTACGCAATGCCAGTGTTTGACATGATCGAAGGTGTGTTGGTAAAGAAGTTGAATTTCGCACCTACTAGAACGCTTCGCTTCATTTCGCGTAATATATATGTCGGTAAGTACCCTTTTCCCTTTATTCCATCAAGTTATAACACGAGCTTAAATGCGCATGTTGTTACCTGAAGGTGAATAAATGAGTTCTAATCGACATTGTATTGCAGCATTCACTATGTTCATTGGCATTACCTTCCCTTTCTTCGGTGGTCTCCTTGGATTTTTCGGAGGATTTGCTTTCGCTCCAACAACTTACTTCGTAAGCCCACAGTTTTTCTCCACACCTAATTCAAAGCATAGCGTAGCTTTACTTGCACATTTTGGTTGAATCTTGTTATTATATGCAGCTCCCTTGTGTCATGTGGCTTGCCATTTACAAGCCAAGGAAGTTCAGCTTGTCTTGGTGGTGCAACTATGTATGTTCATTCATACTCGTACTTCGTTGTCCATAAGTTTACATTTTCTTTAATTTATATTAGTTAACCTAATAATTATTTTACTTCATTTTCAGACCTGTATCTTTTTGGGTGTTCTTTTGATGGTTCTATCACCTATCGGAGGATTGAGATCGATCATCAGTCAAGCCAAGACCTACAAATTTTACTCTTAAAGTCCTTCGCCATCCTTCCCGGCCCAAAAAAGGATAGTAGGTTGCTGCAAGAATCTCCAAAACCTATAAAAAAATACAAGAAAAATGAAGCTGTTGATGATGATGAAGATCAATCTAGTTATGACTATGTGCCTCGAGGGTCTTGCGATAATCGGAGATCTGAAAATAAATAAGGTTGTTTGTGGAAGTACGGATTGGCATTCTGTATCAGTTCATGGGAACGAGAGTTGAAACCAGAAGACCATTAATTCAAGGAACTTTTCCAAAGGATTCTTCTTCTGTTTCATTTTCTCTGTTTGTAATGGTGAATATATGTACATGTATTTATATATACTAGAAATATGGTTGCTGCGGGGTTAGTTACCGTATAAAAAAAAAACATATTTTGAAGTTATAAGTGATTATTAAAGAAGGTTCATGTATATTTACACTAAAAGATGTTTGAACTTTTTGAAAGAATTTTTACATGAAGATCAGAAATTGGGTGAATGAAACTCTTGGAATCCTTTGAACCACACATCACCTGGGAGTGATTGATAGTGTAACAAAAATTAGTAAAAGAGAGTGTAAGAGTATTACATATAAAACTGTATTATTGGAAACACTTTATGGAAAGCTGTAGTGCTATAAGACATACCGCGGTTATAGTTTCAAAACTTATAAAAGAATGCAAGACAAAATATATACACAGAAAAGTAAAAACTATTTAGTTTGAAAGATATGAATGATTCAGCTTGCAGAAAATGTGGAGAGTGATTGAGAAAAGGGAGCATTAAATTAACTGTTTTTCCTTTCCTTCCCTTTGCTTGCTGCATAAACAGTAGAGTAGCCCTAGTTTTTCAATTTTTTTTAATGCCATTCTTCGTGTCAAGTCAAGATCAACAACTAAATTTATAACATGCATGTAAATAATACCACAAAAAATTCCACTTCATTAGACATGCATATTATTTTCTTAGTTCATATATGAGAATTTGACATTATCTCTTTCAACCAGCAACCAAAATCACTTCTCAAAGAGATTATAAATAGAAGAGAGTGGAAGCTTACCCAAAGCCAATTTCAAGTAGTAGTGTTGTGCTACTCTCTCCATTTTCTTATTTTTAGACCCAACAATCTCTGCAGTTAAATATCAGAGTTGGGTTCCATTGGTCTTTCAAAATATCCAGACAAATTGCTCCATTTTGACTGCTAATATTAGGGCGCCTTCAACATATGAGATACATACACACAAAAAAACATTATTAGTGATCCAGATGCATATCGTTTCTCTTGAGTATTCCAATTTAGTAGTCCCTAGAATCTTACACAGTGGCACCTGGTTGTTTCTCCTGCTTTACAAACTGTTTTTTTTTTCTTTTCTTTAAAGCACATTCTGCTGATAAATATATTCTTCACAAAAATTATGCAATACAATTGTACATTAAGTGCTAATAATCTTCATAAAATTGCTAGTTACATTTCTTCACAACTTGAGTGATCTCTCAACTAAATGATGGATGAGGTTATAGTTTATCACTTTCACATTTACATTTGCCCACAATTTAAGTGTTATATTTAAACTCCAAACGATGCATAGGTTATCATGCAGTTACATCATTATACTAAAATTCACATCCAATAAGAGTATAAATACACCTAATTGGTAATATCTTGAGAGAGAGAGAGAGAGAGAGAGAGAGAGAGAGAGAGATACATGGCAATGGGTCGACTTGCAATGAACTAAAGAACTCGACTTTTTCTTATGATTACATCACCACCTTCAAGAAATACATCAATCAGTAAAATCAGAAGTGACAACACAAAAGAAAATCCCAGATAAAGTTCTCATTAGCAGTGAAATTATTAGTATTGCACTAAAATCTTTAGTGATAAGGAGATAATGATCTAAACAATATTATCTCAATCATCATTCTGATAAAGAGAATATGTTACTTGTCCAGAACTACCAATCTGGATCATGGCTCAAAACTAACTGTCAAAACCTTTCATAATAGTAAATTATTGTTCTTTCTTAAGATTCCAAATAATTGGATACACAATCCTTTTATAGCTTTATATATGGATACTTGATCCTCATCAGTCTTGTATACTCCCCTCGTGGCCATGAGACTTTTTGATGAGTGCATTAGTCAAAAGGGCAAGCTTAGAGTATTCAAAAGTTTTTCAATTTCTCAGTTTGCTCTAGATCTCATGATATGCCGATAATAATTAAAGATGAATGAACAAAATAAAAAAGAGAGTGAGAGAGTTAAACCCAAAAGCTTAACCCAATCTCATTTGCATACCATTTGACCATATTAAGAAAAATATGAACTTTGCACCCCCATTTGACCATATTAAGGATAGAGGGCACTCACATCATCGCAGTAGTAGTATTCTTTGATATGCTTTTCCTCAAAACTGCCATAAAAAACCTATAAAGCATAAAAATTTAGAAACAGAAAAGAAAAGGTTTGAAATTGCTGTTAGAAACACAGAATGTACAGAAGGAAACCAAATCGAATTATTATGCCCTTTATTTCCCAACTTCATCAAAACAACCAAGAAGTATAATACAGCAAGGTTAATTTCTCACTTTCTTTAATGAAAATGAATTCTACTTCTTCCCATCTATTTGTTCTTCGTTTTTAGGGGCTTTTGTGTGCTGCTTTCGAAGCACCTTATACTGAAGGTAAATAATTACGGTTTTTTCCTTTGAGCCTTTTCTCCAACAAAAACAAAATTCCTACAAAACGAAGAGCAACATGTTCTGAAACGAAAAACAGAAGCAAATCACCCAAAATTACAACGGATCATTTTATATTTTCTAGATAAATCACATTCCCTAATATCATGTATGATAAATTTTCAAAGTTATACCATCCCTATTCCACATAAGACAGTACACAAACCTTCAGAAAGATGTCAGCGGATAGTCAAAAGCTAGGTTTCGTGTTGCAGCAACAACTCCTGCTGTTGTTCATAGATCACTGCAAAACAACACAAAGTTCTATATTGCTACACTACATGTATTAAATCAATTCCAAAAGGGTACTTACAGTAAAAAAGAAGCTCTATATACCTTTTCTTGGAATGTCAGCCTCATACTTCTTCACTTAAGCATTAACAGTAGCTATAGCCTGTAAAAATAGAAAATCAACTTTTTACCTACATCATCACAGAATGGCAGCCACAAATCTTCCACTGCCTATAAATTCCACAGCTACCTTACCCTTTGCCTCACACTTCGTTGCTTGAAAAAAAACAATCACTACAGTCGTTCCAGACTTGCAGTAATAATATTATCATTCCCCCTCCAGCTATAGAGCTTGTGTGTTTGTTCTTTGGAACCAAGAAAATGGCCTCATCTTCAAGTGACAAACGCTTACTTCAAGATTGCAGCCAATGAAAAACATAGCGAGAACTCGCCGTACTTCGACGGATGAAGGGCTTACGATCACAACCGTTTTCACCCAACTAAAAATCCTGAGGGTTTAATTGAGACGACTGAAGGGGTATATCTTTTTGTTCCTTTATCGGCAAAAACCTTCTGCGAGAAAGATATATATCGAGAAAATGGACAAAAGGTTGAGAGGATTCTGGACCTATGACGAGTGAAATCGGTCCTGAAATTGATTTGAATCAGATTTTCGCATGAAGGAAGAGATGGAGGAAATGGTAGAGTGATTCGATTCGAATCGGTGCAGGAAAGAGAGATGCAGGAAATGGCGAGTGTTTTCTAAAACTAGATGGAAAAGCTATTTTCCATTCCCTCCTATTCCACGATGACAACACGTGTACACCGAAGCAAAAGGAGCGCTGATGGCATACGCGTGGACATTTTCACACATGTAACCCAGGCAGAAATGAAATTACACAAACCAAACAGGGGCAAATTCGTCATTTCACTGTTGGTGAATATAAACAATGATTTTCTGCCGCCTTTTAGTATATGTATAATATCATCTCAATTTTTTTTTTCCTTTTGTGTTTGTTTTTCCGCATTCTTAATTGATCTCTCTAATAAAGATTGATCAAATCCTAAATACATGAGAACGATCTGGTTTTTTGTGTAATTAGCACTACTCTTAATAGGGCTTAGGAAAAGAGCATTTGGGAACTACATTTTTGCTTATGTAGCTTGGTGTTATTTAATCTCTTTGGTGTGCAATACATTTTCTCATATATTTATCAACGATGGTTTGAAAATTCTGAATTGTTGTGTTGTAGTGTTGTAATGTGACGCATATCCAAATTATCAGCAACTGGAGTTCTTCATTGACAAGCTCTTCAAAATTCTATTTCATATTTTTTTTAAAAACACGTAAATCACTGTTCTTAAGAAAAACCTCTGAACTCAACTGTTATTACGCCCGATTAGGGGACACTCCAAAAAAAAGAGAAAGACTAGCTAACAATTTTGCCCAGCTTGGCCTTTGCAACTTTTCTTTGAAGATATCATCATTCCCCAAGTGGCAGGTAGGTCGATTATGTTTAGGTATACGAGATAGATATGCAGCTGTAACTATAGGGAGTTGTTTTCTTTAAAAAAGAAAGGAAGAAATGGTATCTGACAGTTAATTTAGGTTCGGCTCTTTCACGGACAACAAAAGGCCCTTAGGCAGTGTACAACTATTCAAGTCAATGGCAGCAAGCAACATTGTGAATATCTGTGACAACTGAGGTTTCCAATTTTTTGTTATCTTGTACAATAAACAAATGAAGCAGCAGTGTGCATCCATACAAACAAAGCGGGCCAGTTTCCCCTTCATATGCACGCTATGATCCCTTGTCCCAATGTGACGGAGAAGGACTTACATGAAATGGCGATGTTTTACTTACAGGCAGACAAACAATGCATGAGTCATGATTCCCCAAAAACCTTGAGAATTTACCTTTTGGACTCATTCAAACTCTTCTTGCCGTGTAACTTATGTTTTGTGTTGTTTATCAGTTGATTCATTTTATCACTTTCCTTTTTATAGTGACTTTTTCTAATTTCGTAAACAGTCGCATTCTATCATCCATTATCAATTTATCATGTTGTCAGCATTGTCTCACTATACTGATAATAAATAATCAAGATAATCTTGATATGATACAATTGAAGTATCAATCTGCTTCTCTCACTATAAGAATGACTTACTTACAACCATCAGATATCACTATAACATCTTTGATCAATAATACGACACTATGTGATTTAAATTTCTCACATGAGATTAATTTAAAACATTGTCACCTTAACGTATCTCTGTTTCATGCAAATCCGTCTCCCATACTTACGAGTATTTTCGATTTGATACAATAATATTACGATGATTATAGATGCCACATACAACTAAATAAGAGAAACAAGTGCAAGTCATAAACTAACTTGTGCTACAACTAATTAAGGTACACTTGCAACAAAGTAGGAGACTACTATAGCTATATTAGCACCTAATTAACCAACTAATCAAACGTAATTGACTAAGCCAAGCAATTTTTCTTCAAAAGCCCTTGTAGACATCGAAATTTCAGTAAAACAAATGTTCACCAATGCATTAAAGTTTTAACGTGTCAAGGCATACATGGCATACGCCACGTGTTGTACAAATTGTACACATGGCGTGTGACTCAACAAAATAGGAAGAAATACCCTTGAAGGATTAAACAAGTTTTTCTTCTCATTTTGGGCAATGACAAGGCAAGTACATTTCAATCCATTGAGGATCAAAACAAGTTTTTCTTCTCATGTTGGGCAATGACAAGGCAAGCACACTTCAATCCATTACGGATCAAAGCAAGTTTTTCTCATTTGGGCAATGACAAAACATACACATTTCAAGTTTAAAATGGTGTTAAGTGGGAAATTAGGCCATAAGTTACACCACTTCAAGTTTAAAATGGTATTAAGTGGGAAATTAGGCCATAAGTTACACCACTTCAATTTCAATATTGCATTAAGTGGGAAAATTAGGCAATGGTGTTTGGAAAGGAAAAAAATATTTTTGTGGTGGTGATTCATTCTCAAAGCCTATAAATAGGCTTCTCCATCAAGGTATCAAGCATCAAGGAATTCACAAATACATTTCTCTACTCCAAAATTAGAAGAGGAATTCCCCAAATCCTTGAAGTTTTGAAACTCCAAAGCTTCCAACCATCCAAATTCCCAAGAATTCCGAAGGATCAAGAAAGCTCTCTTCGTTCTTCGTTAAATCCTCTTTCAAGATCAAGCCCCGACGGCCCTTGAAGAAAGTGTTCATCCGTTCATCCTAAGCATAAGCCCCAACGGCCCTTTGGATCAACAGCACAAACAAATCCACACATCCAATCGTTCTTCAAGATTAAGCCCAAAAGCCCTTGAAGAAATCCACACAACCATTATTCAAGATCAAGCCCCGACGGCCCTTGAAGAAAGTGTTCATCATTCATCATCCGTTCATCCTAAGATCAAGCCCCAACGGCCCTTTGGATCAACGACCTCAACAAACCTATACACCCATTCTTCAAGAACAAGCCCAACCCTCCTTGAAGATCCGTTCATCCAAGATCAAGCCCCGACGGCCCTTGGATCAACAAACAAATCCACACATCTATTCTTCAAGATCAAGCCCAAAAGCCCTTGAAGAAAACCAACTGTTCATTCAAGATCAAGCCTCGACGGCCCTTGAAGAAAACCAATCATTCTTCAAGATCAAGCCCAACTCCCCTTGAAGATCCATTCATCAACTGTTCATCCTTAGATCAAGCCCCGACGGCTCCTTGGATCAACAAACAAATCCACACATCCAATCGTTCTTCAAGATTAAGCCCCAACAGCCCTTGAAGATCCGCTCATCCATCAACCTTCAAGATCAAGCCCAAAAGCCCTTGAAGAAATCCACACAACCATTATTCAAGATCAAGCCCCGACGGCCCTTGAAGAAAGTGTTCATCCGTTCATCAACTGTTCATCCTTAGATCAAGCCCCGACGGCCCTTTGGATCAACAACTCATCCACAAACCTACACCCTACGAAGATAGAATCAGAGGACCCAATTTGAGAGAGATCTTAACCCCAAAATCATTAAACCACAAATATTATTTTGTACACGTTATTCTTGTTTCTTGTTTCAAGGAACTTTCGTGTTCACAGCCCTTACTACTCAGTAGTACTAAAAATGAACAATCATAATTCAATTAAGGAAATATTGGTTTGCTTACTTGTCATCGATCTAATGGATATAAACTTATAAAACTTAACTGCTTGGTAGTACAGACTATTGAGAACTTACCCCAAGCCAAGACTTGAAACACATTTTATTTTCCTAAAAAATAACTTAATTAAAAAAAATACATAATAATAATTAATATATATATATATATAAACAAGTTAGGATGCAGGGACACACATTTTTGACACACATTTAGTGGGGCTCACTTTGTAATATATTTCAATGATTCAACCATCTATCTTTTAGTCATCCCTCAAATATTATTTCTACCAAAATTCCCTCAAATCCGAAGCCGTATTTGTCTATTTTATTTCACCACAAATTAATGTCTTAATGGTTTTGAATTTGTTTAATTTTACGTAAAGATAATCTATAAATGATGAATTGCAATATAGACCATTCGGATCCTGGAAAAAAAATTATGAAATAGGAGTAACAAAAACGTGTATCAAAATATGTATCCTCATATCTTAATCCAATATATATATGTAACATATCTTAATCCAATATATATATGTAATCATATATAATCCTGCATCAACTTGTCAATAATGCAGAAAGAACCATTAATATGTTCATAATATAAATATTTAAGGAGGTCATTTTCTTTTCCCACCAAAAAAAAACAATTATATCATATAAGATTGTAATTCTATAATTACTTTAAATTAGATATTTAACATTTGGATGAAACTTGGCGTGCAGGCCGAATAAACATATTCCTTAGAAAAAAAAACTAGCAAACAAACATATCAATTTCAAATTAGCTCGAACCATGTTGTGGGCGGAGTTTCCTGCATCTCACATTCTTGTCACCTCCGACAAATAATAATTTCATCTTTCCCATTTATGTTTATTTTGCATTCTCAATTTCCTGCAAGATTTGAAGCCAAAGCCTTAGCTACTACTTTCTGCAGCTAGCAATGGGAGATACAACCGACCAAAGTTCTTCTATCCCAAGCAATGTAAGTCTCTCTCTCTCTCTCTCTCTCTCTCTCTCTCTCTCTCTCTCTCTCTCTCTCTCTCTCTCTCCCCGTAGCGACACACACGCCTAAAGAAGTTGAGGTTTAACCTAAAATTAGTTGGCAATAACGGAGTAACTCAACCCCATATAAGCCTGTGCAAGGTTTTTTAACTTTTCGAGTGGGAAAACTCTCCTTATTGCCAACTGGTTTACCTAACCTATTGGAACATGCTCATAGGTAATTTGACTAGATTTTGATGCATTTGGATTATTTTCTGCTTGTGAATTAATTTTTTTACGAATTCTGGAATTGTGTACTGAATCGCAGGTGGATGAGAAATGGAACAAGCAATCACAGATTATTGATGAAGATAAGCCACGGAGGCAGAAGGAAATAGATGAGTGGCTCCCAATCACTGGTTCAAGGAATGCAAAATGGTGGTACTCAACTTTCCACAATGTCACCGCCATGGTTGGAGCCGGCGTCTTAAGTCTTCCCTTTGCCATGTCCAATCTCGGATGGTATGTCAACATTTCTCATTCCCCTTTTAGTCTAGTGCACTTCGAACTAAATACTTTATAATTTTATCTATGCTCACAGAAGTGCTGCAGGAAGCTAAAATATGAGTTTTAAAGTCATTGGCCTTGTTTTTTTAATGATATTTCAAACTATTATAATCTACGGGAGAGAATTTCAAATTCAGATGCAAGAGTAGGCACACACTGTCTTGGCCAACTAGCCTAACTAACCGATAAGGTTTTAATTGCTTGTTTAATTTTTCAGGGGTCCTGGTTGTGTGATTCTTGTACTATCTTGGGTGATCACTCTATTCACTTTATGGCAAATGGTTGAGATGCATGAGATGGTTCCCGGAAAGAGGTTTGATAGGTACCATGAGCTAGGGCAACATGCCTTTGGTGAAAAGCTAGGGCTTTGGATTGTGGTGCCCCAACAGCTCATATGTGAAGTTGGTGTGGACATTGTGTATATGGTCACGGGTGGAAATTCGCTGCAGAAAGTTTACAAGACGGTGAAGAAAGACAAGGATCCGATCAAACTCACCTACTTCATCATGATCTTTGCCTCCTGTCACTTTGTGCTCGCCCATCTCCCCAACTTCAACTCCATCTCCGGCGTTTCGTTAGCTGCAGCGGTCATGTCATTAAGGTACATCATTAATTTAAAAAGTATTTCTTTAGCTGAATTTTCTGTCAAATAGTGTCACGTACGTGGTGAGCAAGTACTTTGGAATGCAAATCAGTATTCTCAACACGAATTTGTCTATCCTCCCATGTTCCGTGCATGTAATTGAGTATACAACAACGAAAGTAGAACTATGAGAAACACGGAGATTCTTAAACTCATTCTCTTTTGATTTTGATTTCAGTTACTCTACTATTGCATGGACTGCTTCCCTCCACAAGGGTGTTCAGCCGGACGTAGCATACGGGTATAAAGCCAGTAGCACTCCAGGAACAGTCTTCAACTTCTTCACTGCCTTGGGGGACGTAGCTTTTGCCTATGCAGGCCACAATGTGGTTTTGGAGATCCAAGCAACAATCCCTTCGACGCCCGAAAAGCCATCGAAGAAGCCTATGTGGAGAGGAGTTGTGTTGGCCTACCTCGTCGTGGCCTTGTGCTACTTTCCGGTGGCTCTCATTGGATATTACACTTTTGGGAACGCGGTGGAGGACAATATCCTCATCTCATTAGAGAAACCTGAGTGGCTCATCATAACTGCAAACATGTTTGTTGTCGTCCATGTCATTGGAAGTTATCAGGTAAATTTGTACTAGAAACTAGAATATTTGATCTTGGTAAATTTCAAATGGATTTTAATCAAATATTCTTGGTTTTGCTGTGTTACCATATTGCAATGCAGCTATATGCAATGCCAGTATTCGACATGATAGAGACCTTGTTGGTGAAGAAACTGCACTTCAGGCCTACCCTAATCCTCCGCTTTGTTTCCCGGAATATCTATGTCGGTAAGTAGTTCAGCTCCTCATCGAGTAGAGTGACCGCCATAACTTGACTCTTTTCTCTCCATGCACACCCTTGTCTATTTATTTATGATCTTTACATTGAACAAATTAAAGGAGAATAAACAAAAAAGATATACATGGCGTGCAGAAGGGGAAAATGGTGTTACGAATATCGTTTCCCAAACAATATTGAGTATATGCTTTGATCGTGTGTGATTGATTTCAGCCTTCACAATGTTTGTCGCCATTACTTTCCCCTTCTTCGGTGGTCTTCTAGGATTCTTTGGGGGATTTGCATTTTCCCCGACAACATACTTTGTAAGCCCTTAATCTCTTTCTTTGCAGTCAAATTTAAGTTTTACTTTTCATTTGTTCAAGCGATAGTGTAGTCTAATCTAAACTATTGATTCACTGATTCACGATCTCCATCTGATTTCATTCTTTAGCTCCCTTGCATTATGTGGCTTGCCATCAAGAAACCGCGCAGGTGGAGCCTATCTTGGATTATTAACTGGGTACGTGTGTTTGTTCATATTCTATTCTTACATGTTTTTTCGGAGTGCTAATAACATCATCTTTCCATAACCATCTTCATTTCTAAATCGGCTTCCTGAATTGCAGATTTGCATTACACTCGGCGCCATGCTGATGATTCTATCACCTATTGGAGGGTTGAGGAGTATCATAATTCAAGCCAGTACCTACAAATTCTACAAGTAACAAACTTGGCACAAGCATAAGTATTTTTCCCTGAAGTTCAATGCAGTAGATATGGAAATGCAAGCATATGTTACGAATAAGTACCATGAATGAAGACATACAATTCTAGGGCATGTAATTGTAACGAGGTGCCAACGGACTTAACCAGAAGAAAAACTTATGTAACAAGTCATCTCGGTGTGTATTTTTGTATTGTATGTCAGTATGTGTATGCATAAACTCAGAACCTTGATTCATTTATATTCAGCACCTATGAAATAGAGATATCACTTTAGTGGATTGCATATATTGCTGGACACTGGTGGGAAGAACAATGTTACATTGGCACACGACTCTAGTGACATCTTGAAATCTAATATATATAAACTTTCAGCAATATAAAACTAAAATCTATCCAAACCCTTAAATCCAAAAGCATGTGAAGATACTCGCATTTATCCGCCATTATGTTATCGAGTCTCTAAATCTTCTGCGATAGGCCTACGCTGTACTTTATTCTGTGCAACTAATAGCCGTGGTTATAACTAGTCAGGTTTTCTTGTAGCGTTCAATCAACAATGGCATCGTACAATATACACACATCAATTGAACTATCTTCTTTGCCCAAGAATAATTTCCGGCAAGACTGGAATGGCTTATTCGTTGGACAAAACTAGCAAACAAAAATTCTTCAATTCCTGCAAGACTGGAAGCCAGAGCCTTATCTGTTCTCTGCAGCAATGGGACTGGAAGCCAAAGCCTTATCTCTCTCTCTCTCTCTCTCTCTCTCTCTCTCTCTCTCTCTCTCTCTCTCTCTCCTGGATTTTGATTCATTTGGGTGACATACATTTGGAGGAAATATATGATTGTCTTCCAATTACCTCTTCAAGGAACGCAAAATGGTGTGGTACGTACTCTAAAACTTTCCACAAATGTCAACTCCATGATTGGAGCTGGTGTCTTAATTAAAGTCTTCCCTTTGCCATGTCCAATATCGGATCGTACGTTCAGCCCGCGTCCAATCTCGGATGGTACGTTCAGCAAGCACACTGCCTTAACCAACTATACAGATTTTTAATTGCTTGTTTCATTCATCTCTGGCGTCCTGAATGTGTTGTAAATTGTAATGGTGTTCTCATAGGTGATCACTTTATTCACGTAATGGAAAATTATTGAGATACATGAAATGGTTCCTGGAAAGCGGTTTGATAGGTACCAAGAACTAGGGCAACACACCTTGGCGTAAAGCTTGGCTTCTGAATTGTGGTGCTCAGCAGCGCGTATGCAAAGTTGGTGTCGACAGCTCTTGGTAAACTTGGTCATTCAATCGGATTTTTAACAAATCTTGTTGCAATGCAGTTACTTGCAATGCCAGTACTTGACATGATAGAAACCGCGGTGTTGGTAAAGAAACTGCAGTTCCAGCGCACAACTAAGCTTCGGTTCGTTACCAGGAATATATACGTTGGTAAGTTTGATAACGAACTGACCTCCACTCTTGGGACGGCGTTATGTGATTACTGAATGTATTACATCATTTGAATCGATGTTCTTCGTGTGTTATATTTCAGCGTTCACAATCGTCGTCGGAATGACCTTTCCCTTCTTCGGTGGCCTCATTGGATTCTTCGGAGGATTTGCTTTTTCCCACAGCATCACACTATGTAAGTCCTAAGTCCGTCTCTTATTTGCGGTCAAAATCTAAGTTTATATCTCATTCACTCAGTCTCCGTTTGATTTCGCTCTTCAAGCTCCCGTGTGTCTTATGGCTTGCCATCAAGAAACCGTGCAAGTTTAGCCTATCTTGGTTTACAAACTGGGCACATACGGAACTTCTTTCGTTCAATGGTGGTAAAACCAGACCTCCAGAATAATCGTTGTCCTCGATTTCAGATTTGCATTACACTCGGCGTCCTACCGATGATCCTATCGCCTATCGGAGGTTTACTGAATATCATACTTCAGGCCAAGGACTACCACTTCTACATAAACAAACTTTTGGCACACAAACCAGTAGAGTTCGTGAGGAATAAGTGTACCATGAAGGACGTATGAAAATCGGGTTTTCCATCCGTGTCTTTATTTGGTAGGGATTCTGGCCTTCGACAGCCAACCAAGTACTGGCAAAGTTGAATGTCGACGATCTCACCAAAATGCAGCATGACAGCGAAACAGGGCCCGAAAATTCAACCATAACCAAAGCAGTTGGGAGGAATAAGAATATTGCTGAAGAAAGAAAGTCACAAAATTTTGGGTTGCTTCAACGCTTCAACCTATTCAATAAGTCTGGTGGTTGGCCTGCTTCAACTAGAAGATAATGGTATCAACTTATTCATTTCTTTCCTAATAATTGATGCATATGCAGACATGGGTTATGTCAGTTAGGCCCAACAGTGTCCTTGCCCCTTGTTCAAATCCCTTCTCGTAAGTTAGAGTAGATTAGAACGTCATTTTGTGAAGTGAATTCAAGCAAACCTATGCAGAAACCAGCAAATTGTAACAAAAGACAACAAAACCTTATCCCACTAAGTGAGGTTGGCTGTATGAATCTTAAAATGCCATAGCGCTCAACAAATTGTAACAAACATTTGAATGAAAAGACTATGAAACTATGATTAAGAATACATGTTGCAAATATGCGACTTCGTAAATCCTAGAACACCACTACGCTCAACAAATTGTAACAAACATTTTAATTAAAGGACTATGAAACTGTGATTAAGAATACATGTTGCAAATTGTTACATATATAACCACTAATAAGAACAACCCAAATTGTTATTAAGCTTTGAGAAACAGCTCAAATCTTCAATTTCAAATCTCTAATTGGTGAAAAACAAAAACCCCAAAACCTAAAATCTGGGGTTTTATCTAGCTTTCTTTTCCAATTCGCCAGTCCTGGCTCTAAACAATTCGACCCAGAGATTCGAAATCCACAAAATGCTGACAGAAATGGCGGCCATCACTACCACAATCCAGGAACCCCAAACCCACCGCGGAATCAATCCGTCGGCGGCGCCGCTGATGTAAAAGGCCCCCATTCGGTACACGAAATACGGACCCACAAAGCCACGAACAATCGAATACAGAATGTAAAAAGGAGGAGACAAAAGATCATACACCTTAGCTGCAAACTTCAAGTCGCTTCTCCTGGCGTTGGCGAGCGTCCAGACGTTCTGGCAGAGGCTGGTGACCTCGGCGAGGATCAGGAGGCAGAGAATGGCGAATGCGCCGTGGGAGGCGACGTAGCGGCAGGTGAGGAAGACGAAGAGCGTGGCGAGGTGGTGGCCGATGAAGAGGACGTCGCTGGGGAAGAAGACGAGGTAGTGGAGGAGATCGGTGAGGAAGTAGGCGACGCTGTAATCGAGGACGGAGTTCTGGAAAAGGGTGTTGGGGGCGGCGAATCCGGTGGCGGGGTCGGAGAGGATGGCGTAGGCGGAGAGAAAGACGGCGGGGGTGCCGTGGGCGAGGGAGATTAGGCAGCTGGAGGCTTCGGGTCGGATCTTAGGGCTCCAAGTTCGGAAGACGATGAAGTAGGCAATGACGTAGACGATGGAGAACATGAGGAAGAAGATGGGGAGGCATGGGAGCTGGAGAGATGACGACGGCGACAGCGACGGCGATGGCGGGGAGTGGATTGGGTTTTGGGTTTCCATCTGAGATGGAAACGAAATCAAAGGGCTTTGACGAAGATTACGGGAATCGGAGAGAGGGTTTAATTTATAGAGAATTGTGTTGTTTGGGATGGAGAGTGGGACGACGACTGGTGTGGTGTGGGTGTGTGAGTGCGACTCTTGAGACTGACTGACTGCGTTCGAGTTGGACAAAGTTAATAAGAATTTGGTGCGGTGTTGAACCGCTAACTCTATTTTATTGTTTATTTGTACGAAGCGATTTCGTATTTTAGATACACTGAAAAATCTTGGAAATATGAACAGTAAGTTATATGTTCTTTCATAGGTAATAGGAATTTCGTGTTTTGGATACATTGAAAAATCTTCACAAGGACAGAGGAAAAAATTTAAAAAATTTAAAGTCGAAAGCTATATTTTGTAAACTTAACTCAAATTTTCCTCGGTGTATTTAAAAAGTTAGAACCAAGCTAGTGCTCAAACGAGACACCATGGCTATGCCTCTCCAATAGATACTGGCGATGTTAAAGACATATACTTGAATTATATTTTGTAGATCGGATGATGTAGTAATTGATGGTTGAATTCTTTGTTTAAATCATTACAAAATGTATCCAACCATCAAACGGTAGATCATGTGATCCAACCATTAAACGCCAGATCACGTGATCTATCATATTTAAATAGACGGTAATCATTACAGAATGGATCCAACCATCATTCGCCACATCATGTAACCTACAAAATTACCATTCTCCATACTCAAAAGTCAAATTCGATTTTCTTTGCAATTTTGCATTAGAGATGTTATTACTTGCACCACAACATCTGTAATCAAATACGTGTATTTTTGACTTGTAAATTTTGTCTTTGGAGATAGTTTTAAGTGCGAGGGACGAGCACCGGCCTCATGTGAACGGGAATTCAAATTCGGGTTCAATTTCTCTTACCAATGAGTCTTACACGTACCGCCGTGATCCGATCCTGCGAACGGTAGAATTCCGGTAGAATTCCTCGTTGAAACGGCCACCGGGAAAAAGAAAAAGGTTATATCTGGCCCTTGGATGGCATCAAAGGACGGATAGTAAAGTACCAAAAAAAGCATCAACGAGAAAAGTACGCAGACATTTCTTCTTTTTTATCCTCTTTTCATATCAAAATATTCTATTTCGTGCTTCTTTGGTTCGTCCATGAGTACAAAAGCAGCAAACGATTTAATCAATTTCTCCCTCTTCTATATCATTTACAGGACTCGGAGAAGCATTTACCGTACTTGGAGGAACACTAACAGGCTCTGCGTCTTCCTCCTCATCATCGTCTTTCATGTACAAGCCAAGTTGTTCCAACGGGTTACACCCTCCAAAGTTAAAGCCGCCTAAGCCATCCTGCGAGTGATCAGGGCTCGTTTCGTCTACAGAGCTGGGTAGCTGCTCTGCAGGGGCAGTTCTAAGCATCTCCAGATCTTTAAGAAACCGAGAGTTCTCGTTGATTTCAACAGTCTTTTCTATCTGTGCACAACGCAAACAATTTCCCAATAAAGATCCACAGATACTCGAGGGGTAGTATGTATGCAACATATGAGGACGTTTGGCAATTTACCTGCAGCAATGCCTGCCTTGCTGCTTCTCTCTCAAGCTCCCTCTTCCGTTTAGCCTCAGCTGCAGCTTCTGCTTCTGCTCGCCTTCGAGCATCCTCGGCAGCCTTAGCTTCCGCTTGTAACCGTGCTTTCTCTGCTCATATTTTGCAACAAAATACACAAACACATACGAACAGACATTTCAGTTTACTAAACTATAAGAGATGTTTGTGAACATGGTTTGCAATCAAAGGATCGTTGCAAAATTTTATGCCACCAAACCCATACAAAACATGCACACAACAAAGGAATTGATGCAAGCAGAAAAGTAAAACTTTAAGCGTAAGGATCTCCACCTTTCTTCCGTTGCAGTTCAAGTTCCTCCCTCTGGCGCCGCAATTTCTCAGGATCTCCTTTATCACCCTGATCTCAGCCAGATTAAATTGCACCGGATCACATCCAGAGTAGAAAATACTTGCAAAATGGTTTCATACAAACACAGTAAGTACACAAGTAGCGTGACTTTGCAACCCACCTGATTAAGTGTTTTCTCTCTTGCTCTTAAAATGGTATCAGCAAAACGATTCTTCAATACAGCAGCCCTGTACTGCTTCTCGGGGGAGACCGGCCTCTCTTGGGTAGCACTGTCTCCTACATTTTTTTTAAAGATGAGCTATGAGATGGTACCACAAAAGCATAGCTATTATTTTATTTTATTTTATTTTTAACTTTTTTTTCTTTTAAATGAGATTAACTCTTCGGCTTACCATGCTGGCAACAATCTGACTCAACAGGACTTGGCTTCTGCTGGGAACTTTGTTCAACTTGATCCAACCCACTATCAGACTCTGTAAGATCCCATGGATTTGAAAATTTAATCATCAACAAGTAATTCAAAATCCAAAAATACAATCACACCTCAGAGAAGTCTACACCATGTCACTAGTAGAGTACAACCAAGATGGTTACTAAAATGATTGAGAGTCCCAAACGGACTAAATTCAATCCCCATCATTAAGCTGAATATTGTAACAGATGATCGAATGGCAGCATATAAGAGGTCATGTTTATTATAGATAAAAAAAAAAAACCTTGTTTATTATAAATAATAGATGATCAGATGTCTCTTAAAAAATAGATGATCAGATATTATGCATCTGCAACACAAAACATGATACGCTCTTCCAAACCTCTATTTAAGCAGGAAGGTACTTCCTCTCTATTCATGATCCTGTTTTAATCAGATTTCTTGCCCAAGACATTGTCAAAAGATTCCCTATTATCTTCTATATCTACGTACTATATTTTCGACCCACCCTGTGTTTCCCATTTATGGACTGGAAACTGAATATCAAAAATACTTCATGCAACACCAAGAGAATGAAAACAGGAATGTGATTTTATTAAAAAAATTACTCACGATTTCCTTCGAGGGGATTATCAATTGTTGTCTTTACATCTAAACGAGCTCCAGAACTCACAGTTTCTGGTACCTGAAGAAGAATTAAGTATGATGTCAGGCCCGTCAGTCAAACCAATACCCAGTATCCATACACTATTGTACCACACAAACTCAATAGTTCACAAACCATCCATCATGAGAGGTGCAGAAAATTTGATTTGATGTATTTAACATAAAATTTCAGACAGCTTATGCGCATTTACCAGACTTGCGGCCTTCACATCATCACATTCACTCTCAGAAGAACTGCTAGAATCTGAATCTGTAAAACATACACAAGATACAAAATTATTTAGTGTTTTTGAAACTCAGGAAAAAAAAAATCACGACTCTTTTGCAAGCATGCAGAGTCTTTATTTAATTATTTATTTGTTGGCCTCAAGTGAAGTCAAAACTTGAACACTAAATAATTTAGTGCATGAATTGGAGAAACAAAATATTTGCTCCAACAAGCCCTACTCTATTTTTTTTTTTCCTCTCCATCTAATTAAAACTCAAAAATTATACAATTTAAAGCATGAAATTGGAGAAATAAAAAGTTGACAAACTCAACTTACCACTGGAGCTGCTTGAGCTAATGGCTTTACTACTTTTATGGCCAGTATCCATTTCTATCTCCACAGGAGGATAGCTTGAGACAGGAGGCTCATTTCCACCAATATCAACATCTTCATCAGCCGGATCATTCCCTACAAATGCATATAGTGAAAGGAGGAACCAAGTGTTTCAAACATTCTAAAACTGAAGTCGGCACTTATATATGCAAGTAGATAAAGAAGAATATGACCTTTACATGGCTGCATGGATGAATTGCTCAACCCTGATTCATTGACAAGCTGCATTATAGTGACAACAATGTATGTTTCAGGCATATATTAATCTACTTTGATTCCAGGAACAGGAAAAAGGTGAGGTCGAGCTAATACCTCCATTGAACAAGGTTCAGCCCTTGCATGGTTCTTTCGTTTCTCTTGCAAATACTCATTTAAAAGCCTCCGTAAGGTGAACAAAGTATCATCACTTAGAACATCGATATCAATCTCAATCTCATCCTCTCCAGAGTCCTTTCCATTTGAACTGTGCTCCTTCAAGAAATCAATGATGTGTAACGGCATCTCTCCAAGCAAAGACTCCAATTCTCTGCTCAGATTGAGCTTCTCCTCTGTTGTCATCACTCGCTTAGGAGGCTCAGACTTTACTTCATTGTGCACTGACGTGATAGTCCTCTTTTTTGAGGGGGGCAATGGTTTAGGAGTTTCCATGCCTTCGCGAGGACCAGATTTAGTTGGCGGTGGTTGGGAATCAGCCTTGGGCAGTTTTTTCTCGATGGTTTTCCACCTGACTTCAAAAAATTTACTAAGAGTATCAGCCATGGCATAGACCTTATTTTGTGGTGGATTGTAGGTCATAGCATTGGTGAAGGTCATCCTTACATCAGCAGCAAACTCCAACGGGGATGAATAAGATCCCGAAGCTATCTTGCTCTTTATTGTACCCAAGTCCATTGGATGTTTGATAACAGTGAAATAATCTGGAATGTTCAACTTCACCACATCAACAGGTTCTTTGAAAAGCCAACTGGATTGATGGGCCATCAACCGTTTCAACAGTGCCTCGCATTGTTTCATAAGAATCGCACTAGCAGTGCTAGAGTCAAACCTCCCAGAAGCTTCCGGATTCCGTGTCTGTGCTTTTGGAGCCCCAAGATTCAGTCTTTTCCCCGACACAGAAGTCAATGTCGACGACTTTCTAAAACTATCTACATGCGGCCCATTCTGGCCATTGCTGATGATATCACTAGAAGAGGACACTGCAACACCATTGGTTTTATGCATTTCAACTTTTTTCTGAAGTATTCGTATCTGTTCAAGTTCCATTCTCAACCTATGTATCAAATCCTTCCTCTCTGATGACACCATGTTTGACAAGGGAAGAATTTGTATGGGCACACGAAAACTGTCGCGGTTACTGGAATTCAAACTAATACTTTTCCTCGTTGGAGCACTTGAATCCTCCGAGCCAGTAACTTCTGCGTCGATTCTTCCTGAGCTACCC